GCGTCTTGCACCGTCGTACCGCACCCACATTGCTGAAATATAAAACCGGTGGTCCTTCAGGTAGCTGTACTTGGGCATTGTATTGTGTGGGCATTTCTCTTATTGTTTTCGATGCAGTTCAACGCTAGCCATATCATGGATTTAAGGGTATTAAAGTAAAGTTGGTGGCCAGGTGCTGTCCGTGTGGGTATTACGAATAGGTCCACAAATATGATGACTGTCATAACTTCAACAACCAAGGGGTCGAAATGTACGTATGAAATGAAATGTAAATGAAATGTACGAGGTCGCTGATGCGTACCGAAGTCACGCAACAGATGCAAAACAAAGTTGCAGCGAAAGCTACAGGTCTCCAAAAAGGAATGATGCTGTTTAGAAGCATCCAAAAACGCATCACTGAAGCACCACATGAGGCTGAAGATTACAGCTGTCTAATGATATGAGAACCTCAGTCATATGTTTAGAAGTTATAACACGAGAAATCTCATAATAAAGCTCATACAACTCTCCACGCTTTCCCGTTATGGTTTACTCAGTTGCTGGACTGTTGCCGAAAATTATTCATTAACGAAGGACAGTCATGATGGATGTTTTAGGAACCGGAAGTAGGCATCTTTGAAAAGTTTAAGCTGATCAACCGATAGGCTTATATCTGCGGATGTCCCCATTCCTTAAATGTTAGTGGGTGCTAGTTCGGTTTTAATGTCAGTTTATAGGAAATGTTAATGAATCCAGTGCGGTTTTAGTGCCGGTTTATAGCTATTATCAAAACGCAACAAAGTTCTAATCTGGCTAACAGCCAACGTTGGTCGGAGCTCACCAACATTTGCGACAGCTACGCTCGTAGTTCTACTTCACAAGACATCATGTCGGGGAGCTATGCAAGTATTGAAACTGCTCAAGAACTCCGAGCTAAGAAGAAAGCCTAATGCATGCCCTAGGGCGTGCATCTGGATTGTTAAGTATGAAAAGCTCCATCAGTCCAGCTTTGGTGTTTTTAACGCGCGCTCGGGTGGCCACTTGCATACCCTTCGCTCGGGTCGGGGGTTAGTTTGACTCCGCTGAGATCTCAGGAACTACGAGAGCTAGAAACAATAGCTTTACAGAGTATGTTGCCCTGTAAATGAGCTCATTTAAATACAATTTTGAGGCATTTAGATCATGATCTTCGGGTAGAAACAGGTGGAACAGGGTTAAAGTCCAGGTTGGTCTCCGAAGGACTGCTGGAAGCTGGATAACTGCTCTAAGCAAAAATATACATTCTTATCTAACGGCAGTGACCTCGTTTGACCTTTTAAAGATTATAGTGACCAAAATCATACAAGACTGCTTAAAGCTTTGCATTTGGATAAGCAACAAAGATTTCACTAGGCAGTATGTTCCTAAAAACAAAATATTGACCTGTCATTCTAGATCGGTGACCTATGCTGACCTTTCAAAAGTCCATGCAAGGTGTATAATGCGGCCCCTGTTATGAATAAATTCGAAACGACGACCAGAAACTATCTCACAAGGCATGCCATAGAGAAATAAAATAGGCTCATTTTGACCTTGGTCTGACCTTTATACCTGACCTTAGGTCAATGTATTTTTTTCGTTTAATTGTAGTATTACCTATGAACGTATCTCCGAGATGTACGGCTTCGTCTAGCCATCCATTGTTGGATCAGATTGAACGATTCCCTAGAAATTGCCTTCGCTGCAACCATGAAATTTTTTCCCCTACAAATGCCTGAATTTGACCTGCCATAGATAAGCGACCTTACAAAGTAGATCTAGATTTTTGATGCCAGACGATCCGCTATTCAATTGTCGAAAGCTATGCAAGTTGCAAACCATTACGGAAAAACCTTTGGGGTCAATTTGACCCCCACCCGAGCGCGTGTTAATGGAGTGTCCCACAATGGGGCGCATTCCAAAACCATGCTCTAGTGAAACCTTATGACCAGTTACGTCTAATAACGCATTGGTTAGTGCCACGTCAGCACCCTCATAACATAATCAAGGGCTGCCAATTCCCATTAATTTTTAGTCCAAATAACGCTGTTAATGCTTTTTAACAGAACTATGCTTCTTTCCTCGCCCTAAAGCTACCAGATCGCTTTAATATTGTCATTTGAATAAACATTTGTTCTGATTTGCTAGTTGATTAAGCATTAGGAACTGCGGTAGGCGGTACATTCTTACAGCAAAATGTCAGTCTGGGTCATTTTGGTCCAGTGACTTATCCTGGCGTTTCGGAAGTCAACAAAAGATGTATTTGTGGTCCGCGTTACAAAGAAATTTGAAATGAATGTTATAAGCTATCCCGTAAAGCAAAATTTTCAGGAAAAAACGGATTGGTCTTTAACATGGTTCTGGCCTTCAACACCCCGCTGTCGAATCAGATTGAACGATTCTCCAGAAATTGCCTTTGCCGACAGCCATAGGTCAGTGGCCTGACAAGGCACATGTAAGTTCTTATATCAAAGATCCCCTGTTCAGTTACCTAAAGCTACGTCAAATTTTGCACGGCTCCGCCGTACCGTTCGAATATCATGTTATAAAGAGGGCTACACTGCCTTCACCCCCCCCCCCCCTCCCCACCCAAGCGCGCGTTAACTAGCATGCAACTACTTGTCCACTGGCTCATTGCTGTCGAAGTCCAAGTGATCCAGAATATTCGTCAACAGATGTATGTGAATACGCTGCCAGTCTGACAAACGATGTAAGCATGACTGATGGTCTCCAACTGCTGTTTTAGCACGGGCAGTGGTGCCTCACCATTCGCGGGTGAATTTACGCGGTCGAGTGCAGGCGGGTTTGTGTGAGAGCGCATTTAAAGCTGCAGTCCAGTCGCTGTGGCCTTTAATGTCGCCATTCCGGCTTTCATTGCAGATTACTCAAAACCGGACGAAAACCGGTCATGCACTTCCTTCAAAAATGGCATGCACCAACTGAGCGGCCAGCGTTATGTAAGTGCTTACAGTGGCGGAGCCAGTTAAGAAAAATGGGAGCAACGGGCGGCGAAACCACCAAGACTATGAAAAAAGCGGATTTTTCGTCGGCATGGCTTTCCTGTAAGTGATGCGAAAATAGAAGCTTCGTCCCTTCCAGCTGAATTCCTTCGATGCTGAATTTGTCCATGGTCACCACCAGCCTCGAGAACTGGGATGTGTCAGTGGATTATAAGAGGTTCGGGCAGAAGGGCATCGCGGAGTGCGGTGTTCTGCAGACGGAGAAGCAGAGCATTACGCGGTTAAGTGTCGCTCGGGTACAGTGCGGACCATGCCCCGTCGCGCCGTTGCCTGCTGGATGGTGCCGCTGGCGGTGCTCGTCTGCCTCTGGGAGTGCGGCGCCGACCGGTACACCGCTAAAACACCGCGGCTGTACCTCAAGGAAGCCATCGCCGAGGCGCTGCTTGAACATCGCAGTGATCTCCTGCAGCCGGAGACAGCACCGACCACCTCACAGTCCGGGTGTGCGAAGCAGTTCATACCGTGCGCCGGCCGCTGCTACCGGCGGCTGTCCCCGGCCGTCACGTATGAACAAGCTGAACAGGCGTGCGCACAGATCAACTCGCACCTGGCGGTGCCGCGCACTCGTGACGAGAACCTATGCGCCGCCGGTCTGGCCCGCAACCGGCACATCTGGCTGGGAATTACCGATCAGCTCACCGAGGGAGTGTTTGTCGACATCTTCGGCCGGTCGGTGACGGAAGAACTTACCCAGGTGTGGTCCGCAAATCAACCAGACAACCGCAATGATACAGAAGACTGTGTGGAGATCTGGCCGGAAAACGCATATAATTTTGGCTCCAGGTTCGCCGAGTGGAATGACAAGCCATGCTTTCATCTGGGATACCCAATGTGCCAATCGGCATGAGAAGAAACACGTAGTTGGAGAAGGTGAAGAAAGGCCTAGCCACTTGCTGAGAAGTTTGACTCGCGTGGCTGCACCGGGGCACACTGATAGCAAGAGAACCAAGTGTTTTGACGTAAAGCATCATCAGTTGCATAGTTGAGCAAATTTTGCACGGTAAAGTGGTGCAAAAACGTCTCGCGTGGTAAAAACCCTACGCTGATAGCTCTAAAACTTGATGCCCTGAGCAAAATGTGTAATGCACAGGCTGAGAAAAAGTTTTCACGCGTTTCAAAGCGTTACGTGTGTTTCAAATGGATGCGGATGTTTGCGTGACAACGAAGGTGAGAACTTTGCATTATGTGGGTATGTCTTCCGCTTTTCTTGTTGCAGTTCGCCCATAGCAGCGTTTTGAACTGAAAGAAGGTAGGGAAAGTTGTGAGGGTTGTTATGAGCTTCCTCCTGCCATAACTTCTGAGCATATTCCAAGATTCTCATATCTCCAGACAGCTGTAATCTTCAGCCTCATGTGTATGGTGCCTCAGTGATATATTTTTAGATGTTTTTTAACAGCCTAATTCCTTTTTGGGGATCCGTGCCTTCCGCTGTGAGTCTTTCCTGCATCTGTTCCGTTGATTTTGGCACGCATCAGCGACCTCGCACATTTCATTGCCCTTGGTCGTTGAAGTTATGTCAGTCATCACATTTGTCGACCTGTTCTTAATATCCACGCAGACTGCACCTGACCACCAGCGTTGTTTCAATATACTTAAATACATGATATCGCTAGGGTTGAACTGCAACGAAAAAATGACGGAAATTCTCACATGATATAAAGTTCTTACCTCCGTTTCCAAGTAAACAGCCGCATTCATACCAATTTCATGTAGCCGGATAAAACATGGTCTGTTTCCCATCCTGTATATTACATGCTTTACTCAGGACATGCAATTTTGCAGCTATCGGCGTGGGATGTTTTACCCTGCGAGGCGTCTTGCACCGTCGTACCGCACCCACATTGCTGAAATATAAAACCGGTGGTCCTTCAGGTAGCTGTACTTGGATCTCTTGGTAAAACGTACTCCGGTGTAGCCGCGTATGTCAGACTTCTCAGCAGGTGGCTAGGCATTATATCAACCTCTCGAACTACAGGTTTCTTATCATGCCAATTGACACATTGGGTATCCCAGTTCAGAGCAGTGTTTGTCATTCCATTCGGCGAACTTGGAACCGAGATTAAATGCGTTTTCCGGCCAAATCTCAACACAATCTTCTGTACCATTGTAGTTGTCTGGTTGGCCTGCGGACCACACCTGGGTAAGTTCTTCCGTCACCGATCGGCCGAAGGTGTCGACAAACACTCCCTCGGTGAGCTGATCGGTAATTCCCAGCCAGATGTGCCGGTTGCGGGCCAGACCGGCGGCGCATAGGTTCTCGTCACGAGTGCGCGGCACCGCCAGGTGCGAGTTGATCTGTGCGCACGCCTGTTCAGCTTGTTCATACGTGACGGCCGGGGACAGCCGCCGGTAGCAGCGGCCGGCGCACGGCATGAACTGCTTCGGGCACCCGCACTGTGAGGTGGTCGGCGCTGTCTCCGGCGGCAGGAACTCACTGCGGTGTTCAAGCAGCGCCTCAGCGATGGCTTCCTTGATGTAGCGCCGCAGTGTTTTGGCGGTGTACCGGTCGGCGCCGCACTCCCAGAGGCAGACGAGCACCGCCAGCGGCACCATCCAGCGGGCAACGGCGCGACGGGGCATGGTCCGCACTGTACCCGAGCGACACTTGTCCGCGTAATGCTCTGCTTCTCTGTCTGCGGAGCACCGCACTCCGCGATAACCCTTCTGCTCGAACCTCTTAGAACCCACTGACACATCCCCAGTTCTCCGGAGGCTAGTGGTGACCATGGGCGAATTCAGCATCAAATACCATGAGGAGTAAAACTCCTATCGCTGCATTCCCCACATCCCGGTGAAAAATAAGGAAACCATGCTTTTCGTCGTCTTGATGCTGTTTTGGTTCCTCCCCAATCTTCCCACTGGCTCCGCCACTGCACGCCGTTGTACCACACCGGCCATGCCGGTTTTAGTCCGGTTTTGCGCACTAGCAATAGAGCCACACGGGCCAGATGAAATGTTGCGGCGACCAGACTGCACACTAAGAATGTGCCGGCAAATAAACACGCCTGCACTCAGTCCAGCCAATTCTCCCGCGACAAAGGAGGCACTGCCGGACTATCTCCGTAAACAACCGACTGGGAGCCCCAGCCCCGTTGCAAATCGCCAGCTGGTGCTGCCTGGCGGCATGGCCTGCGGTCCTGCACCTCTTATGTGGAGAGTTAAGCACAAACTGACTTTGTAATATTGCCTGTTTGTGGTATTCGAAATGCGTGGTAAAATGTACCGAATTTCTTGTTGAGTTACACAAGCAGGCTTCAGTTAAAAGTGACGGTAGTCATAGTAGTGATGAAGTTGAGAGATATTGACGTTATTTGTGGTGCGCCTTCGTCTCTTGCGAATTCTGGCAAGCGCTTTTCATCTGGTACGGCAGGTTAAAGTTTCACGACTTAGCAGACCAAGGTCTGATTCGCTCCAGTTGTTGATCGAGCTCTAACTTCAGCGGCGGCAAGCACTTCTATTGGATGGGAGAAGTCTAATAGAAGCGCAAAGAGACGGAGATACTCACGAAGGCGGGCGCCCTGTAACATGATGCGGCTTAAGCTCTATTACACCGTATGTGCCGCTTAAACATAAGAGAACAATGAAGTTGAGAAACATATTAGACGATGATTATCCGAATCGTGCTGAAAGGTGAAGCCTTGCATGCATGGACACATTAGAATGTACTGTAAAAGGAAATGTGTGCATAATTTGCCCCACAATGGACCATGAATGATATAGGCGTATCAACAGGAAAACGAATAATGGCTGAAATGCAAGGCACTGATTGCACGATGTCTGTCGCTAAAACACCGCTAAGTAAAAGGGCAGAACGCGAACGTGAATCAACCTCACCCAGGTGTGGTCTGCAAGTCAACCAGACAACAACAATGGCACAGAAGACTGCGTGGAGACCTGGCCGAAAGAGCCATTAATCTCGGCTCCAGGTTCGCCAAGTGGAAAGACAAACAATGTTCATAACTAGGATCCCAATGTACCAGTTGGCATCAGAAGAAACCTGTAGTTTGAGAGGTTGAAGAAATGCCTAGCCACCTGCTGAGAAGTCTGACTTACGCGGCTACACCGGTGTACGTTTTACCAAGGTGATCCAAGTACAGCCACCTGAAGGACCACCGGTTTTATATTTCAGCAATGTGGGTGCGGTCCGACGGTGCAAGACGCCTCGCAGGGAAAAACACCCCACGCCGATAGCTGCCAAAATTGCATGTCCTGAGTAAAGCATGTAATACACAGGATGGAAACAGACCGTGTTTTTATCCGGCTACATGAGTTTTAGAGGCATGCCGGCTGTAGACTTGGGACGCGAAGATAAGAAACCTTGTATTGTGTGGTACATTTATCTTATTGTTTTCGATGCAGTGTCACCGCTAGCCATATCAATGGATTTAAGGATATTAAAGTAAAGCTGGTGGCCAGGTGCTGTCCGTGTGGCTATTATGAATAGGTCCACAAATATGATGACTGTCATAACTTCAACAACCAAGGGTCGAAATGTACGTTATGAAGTGAAATGTAAGGGGGATTATCGCAGCACCTAATGTTCGTAACCCCTAATGTTATCACAACACCTAATGTTCGAAACACCTAATGTATCGCAAGGCCTAATGTTCGTAACCTCTAATATCTCATAACCCCTAATGTATCATAACCCCTAATGTTCGTAACTCCTAACGTATCACAAGGCCTAATGTTCATAACCTCTAATATATCATAACCCCTAATGTGTCACTACACCTAATGTATCATTAGGCCTAGTGTATCAAATCACCTAATGTTTCACAACTCCTAATGTATCGGAACTCCTAATATATCACAGCACCTAATGTATCGGAACGCCTAGTGTATCCTAACCACTAATGTTTCATAGCGCCTAACGTATCATAACGCCTAATGTTCATAACCTCTAGTGTATCGCAACTCCTAATGTATCATAACGCCTAATGTGTCAAAACACCTAGTGTATCATAACCCCTAACGTATCGTAACCCCTAATATCAGCTGACGACGCTGGTGAGGGCGGGCGATTTTCAGCCCTTTCGACCGCATCTGAACTTCCACTGAAGTCTACCAGATTATAATGGCGTTTGTGGCGCATACAGTACTGGAAGGGGAGGCAAGGTGGGAGGTGTTGGAAAACTCATTCTTCTATGAGAAGTGTAGTGGAGTCATAGAACATCAGTAGGGACTGATGGAAAAGTCTGTTCTTATCGCCCATTATTTGGAGCTCATAAGATGAAGTAGTGGGTGACATGGAAGTCAGGTAGCTGGATGACAGGGAGCTGGTTGATCAGTATTTGAACTTGAGTCATGTTTGTCACGGTTCTTGCACGGATGAATGATCAGTATTTGAACCTGAGTCATGTTTGTCACAGTTCTTGTTCGGATGGCTGATCAGTATTTGAACCTCGGTCATGCTTGTCCCAGTTCTTGCATGGCTGGAATCTGTTCTCAGCACTCCTTGTTTGAAGCTCACAAAGAGAAGTACAGGGTGACATGAAAGTGAGACAGCGTGAAGATGGAAATGGTTAATCACGGTTTGAGTCTGAGTTGAAGACAGGGAAATGGTTAATCAGCATGTGAGCCTGAATCACGCTTTTCACAGTTCTTGCATGACTGAATGGTCATGGCTGATGAATGATCTGAATCTCAGTCATGTTTGTCACAGTTCTTCCATGGCTGAATGATAGGTGATAGTGCATACAGTCTGTGCTTTTGGCATATGCCCAGTTTCAGTAACCCATTGCATTGAGTTTTTTTTGACAATCCCCCCCCCCCAGCCTCATGTTAACTTGAAATAGGAAGTCATTTCTCCCATAGAAACAATTATAAGTCATCAAAAAACTTCCTGTAAATTCTAACATCAAAGAAGGAAATTCATATGGTCAAAGTGTGTGGAAAAATCAGGTGTTGGGGGCATATCAGTTTGGCATTTCCAGTTGAACTTCCAGCCAAGTTTCAAAAGTGACACCCCTAGCATATAACATGGCTAAAACTTACCAAGCTGGACAAAAAGCAGGGAATGATAAGTAGGTCAGTATCAGAAGCTGTAATGTTTGTAACCACTGATGTATAATAATGCTTTATGTATCAAAGCTGATAATGCTTCATAACACCTGGTAGCATGGTGGGTGCTGGTGCAGACAGTCTGTGCTGTCGGTCTAGGCCGGTTTTTATAACCCATTATGTGGGATTGGGCTCATTTTACTACCTGGGGTAATGTTTCAGTAGTTGTTGGGATAGGATTTGAGAAATGCTGGTGGCAATCATGTTAGTGTTGATCTATACATGAAACATAATTAAGCTTGAACAAGGACTGTGTAAACAGCTGCCTGATTTTCAACTGATACTAGTGGCCAGTAAATGTGTCTGTTGTTTTGGCATGCAGCACACAGCAAATGCTTGAACTTGTTTAGCAAGCAGGTCATCAACAGTGGGAATGTTTTCCACATGCAGTGGTAAGATTTGAAAAATGTTGGTCTCATGTATGTGATATGTTCATCCATGCCTTAAACAACTTAATTTTCAGCCATGGCATTATGTGTAACCACCTGGTTGTGTACTGATACTGGTGGCTAGTGAATGCTTCTGTTAGTTCAGCATATGGCACACAGCGAATGCTTTAGCTTGTTAAGCATGCAAGTCATGAACACCTGGAATGTTTTTCAATATGCAGTCATATTTGTGTCATTAGTTTGAGACAGCTTGGTTACCATGAT